GCATGTACGCTGGTGACGTATTATTATTTACAACCTACTGAATCCCTCCCTAGTCTTATGGGGGTTCTTTCAAAATTTGTTGCTTTAACAGGCCTTTCTGTTAACCTTAATAAATCTATGGCTCTTCCATTTAACCTACCTCATCCCAGGAGAGACGCTTTAAAAAATAATTTTCCATTTATTTGGTATCTCCTATTTGGGGAGTATTATTATATGGTAATTATTATTATACAGTATTTTATAAAGCGCCAACAGTTCGCTCAGCGCTGTACATTACAATGGGAGACAGAACATGTGACAGAACAATAACAATACAATGCAATACACGAGGGGTCGAGGGCCCTGCTCTTTCGAGCTTACAATCTAGGAGGGAGGGGATAGTGGTACAGGAGGAAGTGGCTGGGGGGTGGAGTGGTAGGAAGAGTGGAGGAGGTTGGCAATAAGCAAGGGGTGGGGTAGGCTTCCCTGAAGAGGTGGGTTTTCAGGGTGCGCCTAAAGGAGAGGAGAGTAGGTGATAGTCTGATGGATTGGGGTAGCGAGTTCCAGAGGATGGGTGACGCCCTGGAGAAGCCCTGGAGGCGGACATGGGAGGAGGAGACCAGGGAACTAGAGAAAAGGAGGTCTTGTGAGGAGCGGAGTGTGCATGTTGGGTGGTACTTGGATATTAGGTTGGTGATGTAGTTTGGGGCAGTATGATGGACGGCTTTGTACGTCAGTGTTAGTAGTTTGAATTTGATCCGTTGGGCAATCAGAAGCCAGTGGAGGGATTGGCAGAGGGGGGTGGAGGACACTGAGTGGAGGCCAGTGGAGGGATTGGCAGAGAGGGGTGGCGGATACGGAGTAGTTGGTAAGGTGGATGAGTCTGGCTGCCGTATTCAGGATGGACTGAAGCGGGGATAGCCAGCGGCGAGGCAGGCCAGTGAGGAGGGAGTTGCAGTAGTCGAGTCGTGATATGATGAGGGAGTGGATGAGCTGCTTAGTGGTTTCTGGGGTTAGGAACGTGCGGATTTTGGCGATATGTTGCGGAGGTGGAGTCTGCACGAGTTTGTTAGTGATTGGACTTGGGGCTGGAAGGATAGATTGGAATCAAGTATGACCCCAAGTACTCTGGCTTGTGGGGCGGGCCTGATGGTGGCATTGTTGTACGTGAGGGAGAAGTCAGTGGGGGGTGGTATGCGGGCAGGGGGAAACTTATTTATTTATTAAATAATTAATACATTAATTAGTTATTAAGATATTAACTTATCTTTGGATTTCTCTCAACTATTTCAATACAGCTATCCCTTCTAACATCAAACAATTACTCAAGGTGTGGTCATACTTTCATATTTCATTCCTTGGAAAGGTAACTGTAGTTAAGATGACCATTCTCCAAAAATTGCTATACTATTTAGAGTCCTACATATTAGACTGAGACCTACCTGTCTAAAATTCATTCAGACAAATTTGTCTGTCAAAATAAGCCCCCTAGAGACTCAAGACTTATTCTTTATCACTCTCATAAGCAAGGTGACTTGGGTGCCCCATGCTCTTCTATCTTGCTTCTTGACTAACACAACTAGCTCAATGGGATATTTTGGATTCTAAGGTATCCTGGCTCAAATTTGAGGACTCTTCTATTGAACCTCATTTTTTGCCTGGAGGTTTGTGGTTCAATAGTATTGCAGTAGCTGATCTATTGAAGTGTAGGTTAGTGGTGGGTCAATCCCTTAAACTTTGACACCTTTATAAAAATATAAATTATCCTCTAAAATGTCTCCACGGTCATCCTATCTGGGAGACTCAAGATTCGGAGGAGGATTTTCCAGACCTAGTGAATTTTGCTGGTGGCAATCTCATTCTATAACTAATCTGTCAACTCTCCAAGAGGTCTCATCATGTGCCCCCTTCTCACTGCTTCAACAACTGAGAGCTATCCCACTCACTGAATTCTATCGGTATTTACAGATCAGACATTTTTATTCCACATATTGTGTCTTAACTATTTCAGACTCTCGCACTGTTTGAGGCGATTTGTCATACACGCCCGAGGGGTAAGGGGCCAATCTCCACTTTATATCAATGTCTGAACTTCTGATACCCCCATAAACTTCCATATATGCCCAAATGGGAAGAGGAGCTTGGGGAGCCGTTTACAGAACAAGAATGGGTCACCATGTGGCCAAATCTTAGGAAATGCACTAAATCCTTAACGGTCTGTGATACTGTACTCACACACTTTTCACAAGATGGTACTATACCCCCTTAGACTTTCTGGTGTTCATCCCCAGGTATCCCCATACTGTTTCTGGGGTTGCTCTCAAGTTGGCTCATTTCAGCATGTATTTTGGAGCTGCAAGAAGGTACAGTATCCCCAGTTTAGGATGAGCTTTCAGATCTTGCCCCTATACTGGCTGTAGAACGGAGAGTTTTGAGTCAGTCCCAATGCCTATTGTTCACTACTATCCCCTCTCTTACTACACCTCTGGAGAATTTGATACATACCCTGTGTGTGGCTATGCTTTGTATAATAGCATACAATTGGAAATTGCCATCAAGACCATTTTTACAAGTTATTTCTAGAATGGATGCTATTATGTTAATGGCACAAATCGTTCATATTCTTCATGAATCAAAACCGAAGTTTGATGTTAAGTGGGACCTGTTAAACCGCCTGGCAGAGTCTCTAGCAGCCCACCGCACGGACGCCCTCAGGGCGCAGGGTCTAAGTCCCAGCCTGCTGTTCACCAGGGCCCCTGATGGTGGGGATGGACTTGGTGCAGACTGGAACCAGGTCGCGACCCCCGAGTGTGTCCTGCGGTGGTAGAGAGTACTGACAGGGGAGTGCAGGAGCGGAATCTAATTTGGAAGAGGCAGACAGATACACTGGTCTGATCCGAGCCGGATGGATGGATGGTCGGGTACGGTATGCGTGGTCAGACAGGCCGGGTCGGTATTATGCAGGCAGCGAGGTACAATAGGAGCGAGCTAAGAATGGTCAGGTCACATGCGGGCAGCGCAGTACCAGGGATCAGACGGAGGAGTAGTCAGGCAAGCCAGGGGTTAAGCAGGAGAAGAGCAGGATCAGGAACAAGCAGAGGTCAGCAACGGAGTATACAGCAACACAGGAACAGGATACAAGATACAAGACCAAATGGCAACTTGACATACCTGTTCCTATTTTTAAATAGCCCGCCTCCCGCTGTCATTGGTGCCAGGCGCGCATCCGCGATCCCGAGTGCGTATGCGCAAACCCCGCCGCTGCCATGTGCGCCCAGGTCCTACCGCCCGCCGGGTAGTGAGTGTTGGTGTTCTGCGAATGCGCCGCCCGACGCGATGCCGCAGAACACCCGGATCCTGACAGGACCCATGGTTTGTGTATCGTCTTCCCCCACCAGACTAATATATAATACGTGTATGTTTTTGTCTCTTCTTCTGCCATAAAGAGATCTCTTTATACATATCATATTAGTATGATGAATACTGCCATACGGATACTATTTGTATGATGTGTAAGTGCCTTTTTTTTACTCACTTTTTAGGAGCTTTTTTTATATGTTTTTTTAAAATCCTTTTATTTATTTTTTTTTCTCTCTTTAACAGTTTGTAAAAATGTATATTTGGTGCATTCTTGTGATGTATGAGACGTGAATTGGAGATTTTTTGCAATTTTTCGTTATCTTTTTGACTGAATATGCCATTTTTGATCTAATGTGCAAACTTTAAGTACCATTTATAATAACATTGCATAAACAAAAAAAAAAAAGAATATGCACTTTGAAACTACAGTTGAAATCTGCAAGGGAATTTGCTCCTGAGCTTAGTAAATGAGAGGAAGATTCACTGTGCAAACAATACCCAATCACATGAAAGATGATTGGATGATGGAAGTCGGCAACGTTTCTCCTCATATACTAAGCACTGGAGCAAATTCCCTTGCAGAGTGCAACGTCACCTACAAAGTGCACAGTCTAATTGCCTTTAGTAAATCCCCTCCAGTGTGTGGGATGAGGCAGTTGCAGGACCGCAAACTTTCTTTCACCATCTAGGCAAAAATAGGGAGTTGGCCCCATGTCAAGTTTTTTTTTCTTTTTCTTCTTTATTGATCAGTGTTTTCCCCTTCCTCTTTATCCTAAAATACACCTTTTTATAAAGTCTAATCTACTAAACTGCTGTGACAAAAATATTCCCAAAGCAGATGGTGTAACACAGCCCTGAAATGCAGATACAATACAATCCCAAAACAATCAGTACAATTCTTATATATCTGAAACACAATCTGAATCAAAAAGAGAAGAAAAAAGTCTCCATTTCCAGATATTCTTACATTAAGCATCACAGTCCACCGCCAAAGAGACAGTATATGACAAAAGCAATTCACCACCAAGCAGGGGCGGACTGACAACTCATGGGGCCCCCGGGCAATAGGGGATCATGGGGCCCCTGTGTCCATGCCCAAACTAAAAAAAGCCTATGAAAAAGGTACCAGGGGCATCTCATGGGGCCCCCTACTGACCCCAGGCCCTCGGGCAGTGCTCGAGTTTCCAAAAGGTCAGTCTGCCCCTGCCACCAAGTAAAAATTCCACATGTTTGAGTTTTCCCTAGAATTAGAGGTAAAAGGGCAAATCCCCCAACAGGTACACATGTTCTTGTCTGTGGGAAATTCCCCTTACTGTAGGAGATTTTTTTCAACTTCCTGTTATGTCCTTGAGACAAGATGTGAAAAGTTTCCCAGTGGTACACAGAAAAAAGAAACCTGTTGGGGGGGGTTAATCCTTCTCTACTCTATATAACCCCCCCAAAAAAACTTTTGGCTATTGGTATGCTTTAAAATAAACCCCAGTAGACGGGGCACAAATTGCACTTTGAGAATATTCTAGGACAGAACGTGTAGATTTTTTTTTAATTCTGTTTATATACACAAAATAAAAACAAATACAGTACAAAGTATTACAAAACAGGGCAATTGGATATGACAAGGCAAGACCAGTTTGCACAAAAATAATTCTGTCCAGTATACAGAAACCACTAACAGAATGAGCATAGACAATCCATATTATATGTGTGTGTGTGTGTGTGTGTGTGTGTGTGTATACAGTGTGTGTATATATATATATATATATATATATATATATATATATATATTGTGGCGATCTGTCACCCAGGATTCTCAACAAGGCAGGTTGAGGGGCTCCAGGGTAAGTGTTTGATACGGAGGAAAGTGGCTTTTCACTGTCCTCCTTTGTTGGTAAGGTCTGTTTTGGGACCTGGAGCCAGGAGAATTCAAAGAGATCTGGGAGGGATAAAAATCTCCAATCCTGGGACCAGGTTTTGGGAATGGCCAGGAGACTGATTGCACAGGTGTGTGCAGGCCTCTTCATAGAGTCAGGACCATGGTTCTGGGCTCCACCCCGGCAGATAGGAGTCAGGAGGGCTCCTCCTGGAAGACAGGAGTCAGGAAGGCTCCACCTAGGAGAGGTGGAAGCCAAAAGCGGCAAGGAGCTGCTTGGGAGTAGCTGTGTGCTAGTGGCTAGCTGTGTGCGAGAGCCATGTTTTTGAAAGAGTCTGCAGGAGTCAGACGTAAGCCTGAAGAGGAAGGCCAGTGGAAGATTGTATATCTGAGAGCCAGGAGGCTGAATTTTGTTTATGTGGATGATAGACACCCCTGTGTGGGAAACTTCTGATGTTTTGAACTTTCATTTAAATAAAAGTGGGCTAAAAAGGCCTTAAAAAGAAAGCGAGTTGCTGTGTGCTTTGAAGAAGCTCTACCATTTGAAGTGAGTTCCCACAATATATATATATTTAATCAAATAGACATGGATGGATGAAGGATCTTCCAGGGGTCACCATTAGCCCACTAAGGTGGAGCAGCCTCTGGGAAGCCGTAATTGAACCATACCGAGTGTACTGTATTCAATGGAACCACAAAAGGCACAAAAAGAAAGTGGAAAAAGAGGGGGGGATGGGAAAGGGAATAATAGGGAACAGGGGGCAGGGGAGGGGGAAAGAGGGGAACCCAAGGCGAATGGGAGAAAGGGCAAACAAGGGTGTCACCAAATAAACAGGCCAATAGTTGATAGGAGTAATAGGTCCAGTTAATTCATTCGGTCACCACATCCCCGAAATAGTGGAAAGAAAAAAGAGAGAAGTGGGATTTTATTGATAGATACCTCACCTCAGAACATATCAGACAATTATATTTAGCATAAAAACATTGTTTTATTACAAAATCTCATTTAAAAAGTTACTGGGGAAGCAACTTCTCCAAGGAAACACACAAACAAGAGTGTCAAACCAAACTATATGTGTGTTATGCAACCCCCCCCCCCATATAGGCACCTCCCCTCATCCACAATGTCTCACAAAGCTTGCCAGTGAGCATGGAGGGTAATAGATGGAGTAAACTTAATGATGGAGCCCAAGAGACTGGTCCAGAAATGCCAGAAGCAATGCATGGAGGAGGTGATAGTGTTCCTCAAAATCAGGCATAAAGACCATATATAATTTATATAGGATGGGAACACGGGGTGTCATAGCTATGTAAAAAGCTACTGGTATCATGATGATTATATATATATATATATATATATAATTACATATGGGACTGCACAACTTATCACTTTCAAAACAAAGTATAGACTGCCTGTATGAATGCAGACAACTTGCAAGTTGGGTAAAAAAAACCTTCAATGCCCCAGAGGATTACATATGTATTAAATGATCATGTCTAAGTATGAAAATCAAATGGGGCCCCAGTCAGAGATGTTAATTTATATACACTTATATATATATATATATATATATATATATATATATATATATAGCCAACCAGTCCACACAGTTTAAATGAAAAGATGTCAGAGCAAACACAAGGTAAAGTATCAAGTAAAACCAACACACTTTCCCATCCAGTCACAGACACGATTCTAAATGTCATAGGTGAGATGTCAGACCTGAGCGCTGCCCACGGCATCATGAAACATGACTGGATGGGGAGGTATGTTTGTTTTATTTGGCATTTTACCTTGTGTTTGCTCTGGCATCTTTTTATTTAAGCTATGTGGACTGGCAGGCTATATATATAGTCATGGCCAAAAATATTGCCCCTCCCCCGTCAGATAATGCCAGGGGAGGGGCAATATATAATGGACCGGACACAGTTGGTGGAACCCTCAATGTTATATTTGTTGGCACACCCCTTGGAAAAAATAACTGAAATCAATGTCTTCCTGTCACCATCAATGAGTTTCTTCCACCTATCTACTGGAATTTTGGATCGCTCTTCTTTCGCCGACTGCTCCGGGTCTCTGAGATTGGAAGGGTTCCTTTCCCCAACTGCTCCGGGTCTCTCAGATTGGAAGGGTTCCTTTCCCCAACTGCTCCGGGTCTCTCAGATTGGAAGGTTCCTTTCCCTAACTGCTCCGGGTCTCTGAGATTGGAAGGGTTCCTTTCCCCAACTGCTCCGGGTCTCTCAGATTGGAAGGTTCCTTTCCCCAACTGCTCCGGGTCTCTCAGATTGGAAGGTTCCTTTCCCCAACTGCTCCGGGTCTCTCAGATTGGAAGGTTCCTTTCCCCAACTGCTCCGGGTCTCTCAGATTGGAAGGTTCCTTTCCCCAACTGCTGTTCTGAGATCTCTCCACAGGAGCTCTATGGGATGGAGATCGGGACTCATTGCTGGCCAGTCCAGTTCTCTCCAGCGCTTTGTCTGAAACCATTTCTGGGGGCTTTTTGACGTGTGCTTTGGGTCATTGTCCTGCTGGAAGATCCATGACCTCTGACACTAAACATGAGAACGCCAAAACATTTGTAATGGCAACACTTTTCTGGGTGAAGTGGTGCATAATCTGGCAGAAATGCAGGGGGGACAATATCTTTGGCCATGAATTTATATATAATTAAAATCTCTGACTGGGGCCCTATTTGATTTTTATATTGAAGTTTTTTCTACCTAACTTGCGAATTGTCTGCATTCATACAGGTAGTTTAAAAAAAAAGTGTAGTGAGCGCAAAGAAATACATAAACAAGCAGCTAGCACAAAGGTGCAAACCCTCGTATTCCAGTAAATAAACACATATACAAAGGTGCAGCGCTAATAAGAAGCAAGACATAAACAGGTTCTGTATGGAAATCCCTCCAAACGATGTGTCTTATCCACTGCAGGAAATGGAAAGATACCCCAATGACCTCCACTGTGAAATGGGCTCTAAATGGGCATTCCTGGAAATGGGCCTCCAGTACACTGATCAGTAATCGATCCCAATGTGGCACATCCTGAAAAGGAGCTCAGAAAAACGGCCCCAAAACAGCAGCATACAGTGTAGTCATGTTTATTAAAATAACAATGCAGCCACGTGGAGCATAAAACAACAAACAACCACTCACAAAGATGGCTGCCGGACCATCACTTGGACTCGGCGGTGTGACGTCAGCACGTAGGCTCCCTCTGATGCGTTTCGTGCACACGCACGTTCTCAAAGGGACCTGCCAATGAGGAAAAACTGTAGCTGCTGACTTTTAAAATACAGCCACTTACCTGTCCCTCGGTCCAGTGGTGTCCTTACCACAGCTGGTGTCACCGGCCATCTCCTCTCCCTGGCGCCGCCACCTTCAGTGTGGGTACCCGGATGTTACAGCTTGCAGCTTCACAGCCAGGTGCCCACTGCGCATGCATGAGAAGCGCTGCACTTTTTGAATGGCCCCGTACTCTTCTGAGACCTGTCCGGTGTCCTAGAAGACTACAGGGAGAGAGAGGTGGAGGACAACTTCCGCTTCAGATCGCCTAAGGCAGAGGAAGTGGGAGCGGTACCTCTCAAATACGGGTACCCCCACACACCCCAAAGGTGCCAATCCTTAATGGGATTGCGGGGGGACAAAGACTTAAAGCAGAACTTCCCCTTTTGGGTGGAGCTCCGCTTTAAATGTATACACAGGAACAGTAATGCTATCAGTTCAAGTGTTAGAACTACAGAACACCCCCCCCCCCTTCTCCCCTATTTTTTGTTTTCTGTATTTCTGTTTACATAAAATTTTCATCAGAATGATTTTTTTTTTTTTTACACTTCTCAAATAGATGCAGTATGAAAAAAAACCCATACACTCATTTAACAGACCAAAAGGGAACAAAAAAAAAGTCAATTTCTTTCTGGGTTTTATATCTCCATTAGTATGCATGGACATCTGCTTCTGAGATTGTTCACAATTAAAGTGGTTCCAAAGTCTTAAGCTTTTTTTTTTACCTTGAGGACTTCAATGCTTGTCCTAAGCCCCCTCACTTTATACTTTCCTGAGCCACATCTCGATCCAGCGATGTGCATGGGCTCTCCTGAGTCTCTCTCTGCTCGTTGGCTTAGATATAGACCATGGCTACCACTGCTGTCAATCACAACCAGTGAGCCAATGATAAGAGAGCAGGGAGCATAGTGTGAACAAGTGTCCCCATAACAAGCAGCTAGCTATGGGGGCACTCAGCATATTTTTTTAAAATATTTTTTTTCCTTTTAGAATCACTTTAATATCAGAAAAGGGCAAAGACCAGAATTTACAATTTATCTGGTATAGGACAAGTTTTTCTGAGAATGAGAAATGACTTCTGTTAGACCTCTGATATTTCATGGCGTGATCTCTTCATGGTGAACGGTGATATTTTTCGTGGTGTGATCTCTTCATGGTGAAACGGTGATATTTCATGGCGTGATCTCTTCATGGTGAACGGTGATATTTCATGGTGTGATCTCTTCATGGTGGAACAATGATATTTCATGGTGTGATCCCTTCATGGTGAGCGGTGATATTTCATGGTGTGATCTCTTCATGGTGAACGGTGATATTTCATGGCGTGATCCCTTCATGGTGAACGGTGATATTTCATGGCGTGATCCCTGTCACGGATCCACGGTCGCCGCCACCAACATGCGACAATTGCACGACCGCGACTAACAGTAATACGTCCCGCCCGTGGCGTCAGACCCCAGACCTTCTCACCAAACTTGTGACTGAAGGACCGGCCGATCTAAAACCGCGGTGTGACGAGCGTAACAAGGCCACACCCAGCTGCACCCTGCACAGCGATTGTCCAGCTAATGGGCTACAATTGGTGCCTGCAGCCTGAATGCGCTTGTTACTGGGTCGGGTTAATTACGCAACTAACCCTTCTACTGCCACCACCGTCTTTGGTAAAGAGAAGACGGACTCTGTCAGAAATACACTATAATGATTGAAAAGTCACCTGTCCAATATGGTCAATTGGGCAGGGAGTAAACAAACACAGTAGCATCTCTTCAAAAGGGCAGGGATTCGTGAATTGCAGGTAAGCGCTTAAAAACAGTTTAACACTTTCAGAAAGAAAGATTTATTACTAAAAAGAAGTCAAACAGG